GCCGGTGGCCCAGGGCTGCGCTCCGCAGCGAGGTTCTAACCGGTTGCTTCGCCCTGCGCGTTTACGGCAGCCCTGTCTTTTGGTTTTATTGCGCTGAGATCAGCTCCCGGGGAAGGAGGTGGTGGTGTGCAGAGACCCAGTGATGCGTTTAATGAAAAGAGAACTCTGCAAGGGCCAGGACTTGTTTGGGCTCAATAGAAGAATTTTATGTAACCAGAACAACCACAAGTTTCATATCTTCACCTCGGATGCTGTGTTCAGTTTTGGGCCCCTCACTCCAAGACAGACCTTGAGGGGCTGGGGCGTATCCAGAGAAGGGCAACGAAGCTGGTGAGGGGTCTGGAGCCCAAGGCTGATGGGGAGCAGCTGAGGGACCTGGGGGTGCTCAGCCTGGAGAAGAGGGGGCTGAGGGGAGACCTTATCGCTCCCTACAACTGCCTGACAGGAGAAGGGAACTGGGGGGGCAGGGTTGGTCTCTGCTCCCAAGTAACAAGTGATAGAATGAGAGAAAATGACCTCAAGTTGCGTCAGGGGAGGTTTAGATTGGGTATTAGGAGGAATTTCTTCACGAAAAGGGTTGTCAAGCACTGGAAGAGGCTGCCCCGGGAAGTAGCTGAGTCCCCATCCCTGGAGGCATTTAACAGGCGTGTAGCTGTGGTGCTTGGGGACATGGTTTAGTGGTGGACTTGGCAGTGCTGGGTTAGTGGCTGGACTTGATGATCTTAAAGGTCTCTTTCAACCTAAGTGATTATATGGGTTTGTGTTTGAACTAAGCACCTTACTGAATGGCATTCAGCCAGTGGTACTTTGCCATCCAAAGATGACCACGGCGATAAGATGGTCTTTGGGATTTTTTCATCAGTGCTGTAAGTTAGCAGGGTTCATGGGTAGGTTTTGCTTGGGTTTGCATGGTGAAGGATGGTGCCCTTTACCATTAAACACATGTGCTTGAACTTCTTAGTGACTGAGGCCTTTTGTTGTGCTAGTGGTATTGCGTTGGTATGTTATTAGTTAATGAGGAGCATGAAATCCTTGGATTAGAAGCTCAGGTGGTGTCAAGAGCACAGAGTGCAGAGGGATGAGAACAGAGCTGCTTTCTTAGTTTGCGTTTAGTTTGGATAGGAAGGGTTAGGAATTTTCTATTCTGTATCATTTTGATAGGGTCAGCTGGACTTGAAGGAAAGCAGATGCAGATATTTAATAATGGCAAAAATGGTAATAATTGTTTTCTGGTCTTCCTTGTAGCCCGTAAATGGCACAGAAATGGCATCAAGAAACCCAGATCCCATAGATACGAATCTCTCAAAGGGGTGAGTATTTCTATGGATATTCCCAGGCTGTTAAGCCATTGAGGCTTAACCACCGAAAAAATCCAGTATTTGTCTTATTTTGACTGACTTTGCAGGTGGGCTTGTGTTTCAGATGGTTAGAACCATTGTGGGTTTCTGTTTCATCTTTTGCTTACCTTACATACGGCTGTGATATTTCTAACCTGTACGAGGCCTGCCCTTGTATCTCTGTAAGACTGCTGTTTAGTTACTAGCCAGTTGCATCTCTGTCCTGCTCAGGTGGGTGTCACTAACTGCTGCTTCCAGCAAAACACACGCATCTCAGTTGCTGTCTCTCCTATCTCTCTGTACCATTCAATATTATTTTACCATCTGTGCTAATCCAGAGGATTTGGCTTGGAAGATGAGAGGAATTGGCATTTCTGGACAATACATATAAAAATGACAGCAATTTGCTTTTTCTGGGATTACACAAGGTGATATAACAGGATCTTTTTCTACGATTGAAAGTGCAAACAGGACATTCTGGCTTTGGGGAGGGTTGTGATTCTGTTTGCCTTGTAGATGTGCTTACTTGGCTTTTTGGATGTGACACAAAAGCTTGTCTTTTGCATAGCTCATTGAGGGCTCAGTCCTGCTCCCTCCTGCAGTCTGGCAGTCTCTGAGTCTGTCTCCTTGCACCGAGCATGCATGAGTTAAGATGGCAAAATTCCAATACTCAACATGTGCTGGTTAAAATGCTGCTTATGGTAAAATAGCAAAAGTTTCGCAGCATAACAGTAGCTGATAGTTCTGGGAATTGGTCCTAGCCACGACGGGATGCATTGGCTGACAAAAACTTAGGAGCTACTCTTTTCTGTGCTGGTACTTTTTTCCTCTGATGTAAGAAGGAAAGGCCTGAGGAAGTGGCCTTGTCTTTACCCAAGGATTACATGTATTTTTGCTCACCTGCCCAGGTTGCTTTGTGGTACTTGAGATCCAGAATGTACTGTGATGTGGAAATTAAATTTGTCCTGTTTAGAGCTTTACTCAACTTGTCCTATTCTTCCTGTACGGTTATTGCCAGGGTTATTGGTTTGTTTGCTTGTTTGTTTATGGAAATTAAGGAAAATAGCTAGTTAAGGGATGGTTGCAGATGGCTAAAATAATTTTGGTGATGTAATAAAATGAGAAAAAAAATCTGACTGAATCACAGCCAGCACTTGGGGATAATTGGAACAATCTGGGGATATGTATGTTTTTTACATATGTCCCTTCTACAACATGACTTATTTTTTCCTTATTTTTCTAGGTTGATCCCAAGTTTCTGAGAAACATGAGATTTGCAAAGAAACACAACAAAAAGGGTCTGAAGAAGATGCAGGCCAACAATGCCAAGCAGGCTGCTCAGCAGAAAAAGGACTGACGTGGTTTAAGACAAAAGAACCAGTTTTCCTATTGGCATGTGTGTTATAGCATTTCTGTAAGAAATAAAATTGGACATAACAAAGTCTTTACCTCCCGCATTGGAGGAGAACCCTCCAAAAGTCTTGTTTGAGTTGTATTTTAGAAGCCAATCAAGCCTGCGTGTAGTTGTGGTGGTTTTGTTCCCTGGCAGATCGAGCCAGCCAGAGCTGTGGAGAGGTTTTGTGTTAATACCATCAGCCTCCGCACATACAGAGTAAAACAGCTGCTCCCTCCTCAGCATTGCTTCACTGTAATTATTGGTACAAATCATGAGGGTTTAGCGGTTCAAAGTCTGCTTTAAAATTGTGGTTACTGAGTGAAACTTTAAGCAAGAAACAATGTTTCTTTTTGTACAAATTGAAGCCGGTTTTTCCTGGACTCTTAGGTGACAGTATTCAATACAGGTAAAATTACTTTTGATACTGGCGTGCGTGTTCAGAGTTCTCCTATACCGCAATTTTTATGATAGTTCCTAGTGTTGTTACGCCAAGATGCGATTCCCAAGGGCTGTTGAATGTCTGCTCCTTTGCTGTCCAGGCAAAGTAGTTACAGCTACAGAAATCCTGAGAAATGGGAGGGTACTGAGCGCTAGCTGTGGTGTTAGAGATCATAGCAATTGGTGTTAGAAGCGGTGTGTGTTGTATTCTGAAATACTTGAAAGTATTGGAAGTGTTAATGGAACTGCCATGGGAATGTGTAAGGTTATAGGACTATATAAAATATCCGTACTTTTCATAGTTCCTGTATTATGGTGGAGGTATTTCATGCTGATAACAAAACATTACCCACCTGATGAAATGTGCTGACTGGTGAGATCAGGGGAGTAACACTCAAAAGCCCGAGAGGGGCTGTGACAGGGTTTTGTTAGTGCTTTCCTGTGTAGATCAGGAGAGGGCTTTGCTCTTCAGGACCCACTAGCCAGCAAAGCTGGTTCAAGAGGTGCTTTTTTTATTACTGAAATGGGCAGCCTGTGAAAATGGAATGCGCTGTTTCTGAAATCGCAATTACAATGCTTGTCCACATGGTGGTGTAAATCCATGGATCAAGAAAAGAGCAGGAAGTTCACAAGTACCTTCTCATTTTGCGGTAGAGCAGCAAAACACCTGCTGGATAAAAAAAATATTTTGCCTGAAACACCTAATGTAACAGATTTTTTTTTAAAATAGTTTAGCCCAAATGCAACGTTATTTTGAAACAAGGTAAATATTTTTGAGTTCTTTATGTCTTGAATTCAAGTCTTTTCCCAGTTCCCACTTACTAATCCTTTTTGACTGATGAAAAATACCACCCAGCTCTAAACCAAGCAATATAATGAGATTTACTAACTTAAAACCCAGGAGTCAAGGGGTTTTAAAGTCTGAGGGAAGCTGCAAACCTCAGCTGTTGTGATTCGTGCTGTATGCAACCTCTGTTATGGAGGTTGACATTAGTCAGCCCTAAGAACTTAATTGCTGTGCGAGAGCAGCGTGCTGGTCAGGAGGAGTGCTGTGCTGGGAAGAACGTACAGTCAGAGGGTTTGTCCCACCAGGTAGAATCCGCTAAATAGACAAGACAAAAAGGTTGTCTGGTCCTGGCTGCCCTCTGGTATGCTAGAAGACCACCTGGCAAGAGGTTCCTCGTACTTCTCCCTGGAGAGGGTTTTTGGCGAGTGGTAGGTCACCCAGGGACAGATCCATGGCACTTAAATCCCACTGGCCTCGGTGGTACCCAAGTGGGTATCTGAGCTCTCAAGTGGTGTGGCTGTTGCCTGCCCTGCCTGAGTGAGTTTGTCTGCAAAGACAACGTCACGTAGCCATGGTTCAGGTTAGCGTGCACTTCTCCCGCCAGCCTCAGCCACTGGCCCAGAGCTGCCCAGCAGCCCCTTGCAGCCCTTCCCGGCGCTGACAGAGACCTAACATGGGGACATGTCCCCTTGGGTTGCTGCAGAGTGGCTGGTCCAGCTGCCTAAGTGAAGGTTAGTCTGCTGCAGGTGTGTGTTGTGACAGAAGCAGCCTCTGAGCAGAGAAATCCTCTGCTTGTGTTTGTCTTGCTGCATCTTTACCTGTGTGTGTGGATTTCCAACCCAGTTTAAGTTGGGCATTTTCAATCTCTAGCACTAAGGCACTAAGAAGGGGGATTTAATTTCTAAACCCTCTTGGTGTCTTCTCCAGAGTGCTTGTCTTGTGAGAGTAGTTCACCCACAGGATGTGGTCTGACGGAAGAGAAGTGCAAGGGTCAGGCGGGGAAAGGGATGTTGGCACGTTAACGAGCAGCAGAGAGGAAGATTTGGTCTTCCTGTGGCTCCAGGCAGCTCCCCCAGGCCTGCCTCAGATGCAGCTTTTTCATCTCGCTGCCCTTCATGCTGCCCTTCAGTGGGACAGCTTCCCAAATAAGGGCTTGCTGACTTTCTGACCAAAATAGCGGCTGCGTGACAAAATGCAGCGAGGAGGAACGTAACCTTAATCCAGGCATCATTGTGTAGCAAGAGACAGGAATTTTGTGAGCTTCCACAGCAGCTTGGTGTCAGGTTTGTTGTTGTCAGCTCCCTGCACACATGGTGGTCCCACAGGATGCTGCCTGGACATTGGTTGACAACTTAGGGCATTTTCTAACCCTGTGATATCTCAGTCCACAACTTCCCTCCTTGTAGAGGTTGCCCCAGCTGAGATGGAAAAGCTGCGGAGGGGAGTTGGTGCTGACACAGCCTCGTGGTGGGTCTTCATCCTCTTCCACTTGCCTTGTGAAATCATTTTAAGTTTTGTGTCTTGATTTCTGTTGGTTAAGTGAGGTTGAAGATCCTTTTCGGGAGGTTTACGTATGCAAAGCCCGGGAGACAGAACTGGCAGCTGTGGCCCACTTGAAACTATTCCCATTATGCAGAGCTCTGTCATCTCTGACATTTAAAAACTTCAGAACTCTTATGATTAAGTCCTTGATATCCCACAGGAAGCTGATGGCTTGAGAGCGTGTCTCTGCTCGGCTACTGCTGTATGTCAGGTTATACATTTTGTGCTTGCTGCTGCTGTACGTCACACTCGCTGCAGATGATTTCTCCTCCTTACAATTAAGAAGACTCAGTATCAAGTTACAGTTTGGCTCCTTTTTTCCCTTTGATTAAAAAAATAGATAGGGAGCAAAGGGCATGTAACCGAATACTGAATCAGCTCATTTGGCAAAGGTGAGCAGTTGTGCTGAAAGCCAAGAGCACAGAGCTGGGAGAAGAAATCCAAGCACTGGGAGACGCTCTGATGGGGCAGGGTGTTCACTGGGGGCCTTAGTGTCTGCGGTGAAAATGAAAAGCAGGGCTGGATGTGGGTTGCTCTGTCCCCCTTTACTGCCTTTCAGTGGTGTGTTTGAGCAAAAAGCTCAAACAGGAGTTCTGCTTTGCCCAAGTTTCAAGGCCGTTGCAGGTGTTTCTATGCAAGAGGGGCTTTGGTGTGATGAAATGTTTGTTTGATATATCTTGGCTCACGTTACACTGCCGCTGCCCTGGTGGCAGATGCATGACTGTAGGTGAGAAGCAGAGGTTTTATTAGGGGGATGAGTACGAAATGTCCTCAGGTCATCCTGCAGCCAGTTAGTTCACACAGCAGAGTTCTACTGTGGGCTGAGGAGAGGCTGCGAATATGCTGGAAAAGCTGCAAACCAGGGCAGTAATTAAATCTACTGCCAGCAAAAGTGAGCAGAGCAAACAGCCTGAGAACTGTGGCTGTGTGCGGTGGCACGGGCTGCTGTCACCTGCCAGCACAGCTCCTGTCTCAGCTGGGGGGTTAAGAGCACGCAGATCTGAGGACTGGTTTAGAGAGTGGTAAATGGCTTTTCTGCCTGATTAAAAAATAATGGGTGTTTCAGTGACTTTAGTACTGTTGTTATTTTTTCAAGTAGTGCTTGTGCACACGGGTCATGTTCCTTAAAGGCTTCTGGCACCAAAGCTTCATTAGACGTGCAAGGAAAACTGCAAATTTGTCTGGAGTTGCATAGACACATGGGTGACTCTGGGTGGTTTTCATTCACCATAACACATCTCCAGGCACATCCCCTCGGTGGAGGCTTCAGCCAGGCTGATCCTGTACTGGTTACTGGTTTTTCAGCCGTCTAACCCCTCGCCAGCCTGTTGTGTTGCGTTCCATTCCCAGTGCAGTTGTTCCCATGTTTTAGCCAACAGTGAAATCCACCCACAGCGCCCCTGCCTGAGGCATTTGCTGTCATACTGCTGGAGGATTCGGTGTGTTCAGATAGATTGGTCTTGCAGCAGTTTTTCTGACTTCGCAGAGTGCGCTGACCTGCTGGCACCTCTGGTCTAAGGACTAAAAAAGCCCCAAATAGTCCTTATTGTGTCAGCTCTTCTAGGGACAAGTTTCAGCTGCTACAAGACCTTGGTCCTCTCTCTCCAGCCACCGCCTTCCTTGTTTTGCTCTCTGAAGAGTGGGTAGACAGCAAGGTTGTGGCTCACTGCTGCCTGTGCCATTGAACCAAGGGAGGAGAGCCAAGACATGTGGCCAGGTGGCTCTTGGCAGCCATCCTTTTCCTTGTGGCCCTAGCAGGAGCCCAAGCCTCGCCCAAGCCAACCCCAAGGTTGGCTGAAGGAGGGAGTTAACATTATTTCTTCTCTTGTTCACCCTTCAGTGAGCCAAAGCCTATCAGTAAGCAGTGGTGAATATCTTGGAGATGTCCTTGCTCGGTGTTGGGATCTGGTCGGGACAGAGGAAGATAATGGGGCTGTTGGTGATGTCTGCTGAGATGTGATGTGAGAGTGTGGGTTGCTCATGGGCTGCATGGCTGTGGGGAGAGCTGGTGTCACCTTGGCTCGTGGCCCAAGCCCAGCTATTTGCTACTCTGTGGAGGTGTACGGGCCTGGGGTAAAACATTTCAGCTGTGTCCTCAAGAGCAGGTCTCAGTGGGGAAAAAACTGCTGCTGCTACACTGGAGAGGTGGAAAATGATTATTTTTTGATCTCTAGGCTATGGATTCATTGGAGGCGGAAGATGGTAACACTCTGGAGCATTTCCCGTTGCAGGCTTGTTCAACCCAAGACATTTCTATGTCTGTTGGTGTCTGGTGCACCGGCAGTTCTGCTGAATCAGCAGGAGCTATGGCAGCATTGAGGGCTTGGGACCCTTGGGGAGACCCCTCTGAGCAGGTCTTCCAGATGTTTGCATTAGGCATTCCCAGAATGTCCTGAGCTTTAAGGAAAAACAGCTCCTCTAACTGACAGGGGTTCATTTCCTTGGTTTCTCTGATGTTACAAGCCCTGGTTGGGCAAAACATTTGGTGCTTGTCTAGAGGAAAGACACAGCCATGTCCTTCCAAACAACCAGCAGCCCCTCTCATGCCTGTTTTCACCTCAAGCCTGTTTGGTCTGAGCTATGATATTTCATTATTGGTACAAATGAAGAGTGTGTCTCGTCAAATACAGCTGCTCAGGGTGGTATTTCCATGGGGGGGAAAAAGCTGGTTTGGGGAGGAAGGGCAGAAGGATGGTGCAGCAGGCGCAGGGGCACTGGCATGGTGGCTTGCTCACCCAGGGCTGAGGGCAGCGTCGCCAGGGCTTGCACCAATGCAGTCTCACACCTTGCCCTGCCAATGTTTATTTTGCCTGGGTAAATGTTTGATTTTAGCAACATGACTGCAATGCGTGATCTGTGCTGGGGCTGTAATTCGATGGGAGGAGGCAGCTATGTGCAGGGGGAGCTGCTAATGCTGCAGGAAT